TAAGGGAGACTGAGAAGGAATAGGTTGCGAGGCAGGAAGAGAACCGACAGAGTGAGGTCCCGAAACACAAGGGTAAAAGTGTTTTAAGGAAAAGCCAGTGATCGACTGAGTTAAATGCGACCGAGAAGTCAAGACGAGGACTGTGAAATTGTAAAGCAAATCTGCTTATGTCCTTCGTCCTCATAAAACCCTGTCAGTGGCTTCCCAATACACCGTGAAGAGGAATCTCTCCCCCAACCTCACACGCACGCCCTCACGTACACATTGCAGGGCACCTGTGAGATCCTACATGATGTGACTCTTGCCTCCTCTCCAGCCTCAACTGTATCACTGCTCCTGCTACTCTCTTACGCTGGACTTCTTTCCAATTCTCAGATGGGGTCCAACTGTCCGCAGGAGGGACTCTCAATCTTCAACGTGCGTACAAATCATCTGCCTTTCTAACACATTCCCAGCTGAAGCTGACATTGCTAGTCTGTGGAACATACTTTTGAGCAGCAAGAACCTAAAAAATATTTCTTTCCCCTCCTCCTCACTATCTTCCATTCATTCTTCAGGTTTCAATTTAAAGGTGAGTGCCTTAAACCGCCCCAGATAATCAGGAACTCTTCTTACATGTTTCCACAGCACCTTGCACATCTCCATATTAATCGTCACATTCACAATAATTAATTCACCACCTTTCTTCTCTGCTAGACTCCAAGTTCCCTGAGGGTAGGGATTATGTTTCTCTTGTTTGCAGATGCTTCCTGGTGCCTAATTCTACACCTGCCACATAGTAGGTACACAAAAAATATTTGTTCATTGATTTAAGTAATTATTCAGATCTGTATTTCTTGACATGGAAAGATATTTATGACATAATGAGTTTTAAAAATAGGGTTACAAAACAATACGTACATAGCATTATCTCAGTTTCATTCTTTATGATTTATTTACATACTGAAAAGTCTGGAATAGTAAATTTAAGAGTATAAACAATATTATCTCTGGATGGCAAGATTTTGAGTAATTGAGGGGTTTCTGGCATTTTTTTTTTTTTGCATTTTTGCTGAAATAATGTAGTTTTACTATTATTTTGTAACAAAATAATACATGAAGTTAAACACTGAATTCTGACACTTAAGCTTTGGTTTTCCAATTGTTGTTGTTGTAGTTGCTGCTGTCTTAATGTATAGAACTAAAAGTCTGTCCACGTTTTTTTAAAAATGTGACTAGAAATTTCCCTCATCGTTTGAAGTCGAGTTGAGGGTTAGGTGTAAACCTATAGCTTAAGCGCCGCTCACCACCAGGAAGCCAGCCATCAGGGGCATCTGACTTGAGAAGGGCAGCCAAGGTTTGTAGGCTAGTATTTTTGCCAACCCTCTCTTTATAGATGGTAGATCAACAAAATACACAAGCAGTTTTACTCAGACAAATCAGGGAAATAGAATATAAGTTCATAAATAGACTCAGTAACACACTGGAATTTAAGGTATGAAAAGCTGGCATTTCAAATTAGTGATGAAAAGAGCATTTATTGAATAAATGATACTGTGCAACTGGCTAGTCATTTAGGGGAAAAAAACAGTGCTTAATCTTCTTATTAAATTAATTACAGGTGAGTCAAAGATTTGTTCTTTTAAAAGAAAGCCATAAAGTTACCAGAAGAAAATATGAGAAAATACATTTAAATTTAAATGTAGAAAAGTCCACTCTAAGAATGACACCAAGACTAGAATACACGAAGAAAATGATTGCTAGTTTTTACCACATAAAATTAAAACTTCTGTATGGCACAAAAACACCATAAACAAAAGTGAAAAGCAAGCAACAAGGTAAAAATAAAGTCTACAATATATATTATACATAATTAAAATCTTTAATATAAAAACATCACTTATAAATCAAAAAAAAGATAAATGATGACACAGAATATGAATTGGTAATTCTCAAAAGGAGAAAAACAGATAGCCAAGAGATATCAAAAAATATGCTCAATCCTACTAGAAACGAATAAAAAATAATAACATAAAGATATTTTCCTCATAAGATTAGAAAAAAATTAAGAAGATTGGCAATTAGTAGTTTGGCAAGGGTGAAAGGAAATGAACAGTGCCATAAATTGTTGATATGAGCATAAGTTGATATAATTTTTATGGAGATAAATCCAGGAATATGTATCAAAATTTTTAAGCCTGAAAGTTTAATAATTCCACACCTAGGAATTTTCTTACATTGCAGCTTGGTTAAGTTAGTGAATATTATGAAATAATTTAAATGTTCACACATAACCTTGACTGAAAAGTTCCGTCTATAGAACGCCACACCTCGTTCAAAGACGTGCGTATACGAGAGATGTTCAGATGGCTGTTCACAACTTTCAGCACTAATCTAAGCATTTAAACACTTTCAATGATTTTTCTTATTTTAGAAACCCAAAATCTAAAATTCCATGCTAAGAATTCTGACTAAATGTCTATAAACTTCTCTTTACAACACAGGAATTTTAAAAGTAAAACTATGATCATATGGAATATTTGTGTAGTTCTCATCAAAACTGCCGTTTAGCAAAATAGACATAAGTTTGAGCAGTACATTGCTATTTTAAATAAACTTGAGTATGTACCCATGCTATTCTACCAAAATATCCATGGTGTTTGGCACAAATAACAATTACTATACACAGAATTAGGAAAGCATTAAACTAATAACCACAAGTATTACTATGCTTTGTAGGTAACTGTTCATTGCAGAGAAAAACCAAAAAGCTGCCAAGAAAAAGGGTATTCATTTTGTGTTTACAATTACTTTTCTTGAGAACACTTATTAGAGAAGAAAGAATTATACGTTTCTCCAAACTTGAAGGCTCAGCAGACAGATATATTTTGCAAAGGTTACGCTATGTTTAGCAAGGCAATCCTCAAGAGATGGATGCTGGGGAAGTAAATATTCAGTGCTTAAATGAACTTCTTATTTAGTACTTAGGAACAAATTGCCAAGACTTATCACCATTGAATAGAATATTTATTGACTCTCTTGGAAAAAGAAAGTGAGATCCACTTGAAGAAAAAAAAAATTTAGAATTGGAAGGAAAACCGTATTTTTTAACACTTTGCATGAATAATAGAAGCTGGGAGTCCTCGAAATGATGCGCGGCTTGCAGAGTGCTAATGGAAATGACTCAGAATAGTAGTTTCATGACTACTAGATTATGTTTGTCTTAATTTTCCACTCTCAGCTTTAGGCTTTTAAAAGACATTCCAAAGAACGTCACACGGAACTGCTATTTTCTACCAGAGATACTGCAACAGTTTTGAAATTTCTAACATTCTTCATGCATAATTTTTTTCAAAAACTTAGCAAACATTGACTTGATAAATTAAAACTAAAGTCTTAGATGTATAAAGTCTTAGACGAATAACAAACCCTAAAAAAATCCTTTTGCCTAAGTGGAAAATAAACATGAAAATGACCTTCTTTTACGGATTCAAACTGAATCTCATTGTGATTACTGAACACAGGGAAATCAGATGGTTTTTTTGTTTTTTTGGTGAGGAAGATTGGCCCTGAGCTAACATCTGTAGCCAATCTTCCTCTATTTTCTGTGTGGGATGCCGCCACAGCATGGCTGGATGAGCAGTGTGTAGATCCACACCCAGGATCCAAACCCCAGCACCCTGGGCTACTGAAGCGCAGCATGGGAACTTAACCACCAGGCTACCGGGTGGATTCCAGAAACCAAATGATTTTAAACCGTGAAAGAATGCAGTCAAGTATTAGAAATTTTACTAAAAGTCAAGTTTGAGGAAATGGGCTCAAAATATGCCATGAAAAGAATGGTAATTTACTAATAATTTTTGACAGCATAAGTAAATGTGATCTTTTAAAATATTATCCTCATATATCTAGAATAGTTAAAAGAAAATACTGAAAATATTTCCATTTAAATTTAACTTAATATTTAACACTTTTACTATTCTTAAAATGCGTAGTAGATGGTTTTTCAGGATTTTCACCAGCTCTGCTGAAAGGCAGGAGACTTTAGAGTATACCTTCTCGCTGGGCGGGTGATATTACCCCCAGGGGGCTGAAAATTGGTGCCTTGGGGGCAGCAATAAAAGCTTAGACTTTTTATGTAGAAAGCACAGATACAGTGCCATAAACAGATATGCAGTATATCTGGGGTATTACAATTTAATGGGGAGGGTGATTAGGAAAAAAAAAGTCTAAAAAAGACTTCCTAAAGGGGGTGATAATGAAAAAAGTTTGAGAAAAACTAAGACAGACACATCTGGATTCCAATCACTATTCAGAGATAAGAACTTGAGCAGGTATCCTAATATTATGGAGCCTAAGTTTCTTCATGAACATAATAAATAGAAATTATGACTTCTCCCTTACAGTTGAAGATTTAAATAAGAAAGATGCAAAGCTCACTTCTACATAAATGTTAGCGCCTTCCTTTTTCTCCTCTCTTTTGAGGACACTATAAATTATATACCCTCCACAAAAGAATACTCAGATTTCAAAGGAAAGTGAGACATGAGGAGAAATGGAAGAAATTCCACAGGCACTGACTTTTGTACATGATCACTGGACCCAAGTATGCCCAATGGTGGTGAAATCTAAAAGATGGGCTCCAACTCCCAAATCTGTAATTTCCTTAGTTGTATAAGCCTGGTGAAGTTGCTTGATTTTTATGAGCCTCAATTTCCACATCTGTACTCCACAGTGCTGTTCTGAAGAACAAACGAGATAATGTATGTGACACTCTTTGGAAACCATAAACCGGCAAACTAAAGTTACCTTATGACAGGGCATTGTTCCTGTTATAATGGCAGGAAATGAAGACACTGACTTGGACTGTGTCCGTCCTGGGAAGGGGTGGAAAAGGACAAAAACCGCTCCTCTTTAGTGTCCAAGAACAGAATCAAGTCTCCAAAATCTAAACCTCAAAAGCAGAACGTCTCTCACAGTTTAAGTCAAGTTTAAAACAAAATTACCAGTGGAACTCTTACCTGTCTCTTTGCTCTTCATCTGTCGAGGGATCACCTGAGAAAGAGGTTCCAAATAGCCCCAGCAGAGGACTGTGGCCTTTCTTGCTGGCTGTATGATACACTCGAGAAGCCAGGCGCAGGTCAATGGGCAGCTCCCGGGCTGGGACAGTGGCGCACAGATCGTGAAGGGTAGGAGTAGAGTAGTCTGGTGGAATTCTGCAACAGAGAAAAGAGGGCTTCTTTTAACAGTTTGGAGTCTTTAGATATAAAATACCATTTACCATTGAGAGTTGAGTTCAGGCTCTAAAAAGGAGTAGAAATGTAGGAGAATAGATTTAAAACTGTAATAATCTTTTATAACAAATTTAATATCACAATTTCAGACCACTGGCCAGATCTTCAAAGTCGTATATCCACCTGCCTGCTGAGGAGTTCAACCTACATGTCTTAGAATCAACAGGTCTAAAAGCAAACTCATTATCATTCCACCCCAAATCTCTCCTCTCCTGAGTTCTGTAACTCAGCAAGTGACCCCATATCCAGCGGTCATGCATTACTGCTCTGCTACTCTGCTCAAATGCTAATGTTCCTGAGGAAGGAGAGCAATACGGTGCATCATCCAATAACTAGCATCAGTGGAACTCTGGATCTCTCTAAGTTGATGTGGCATCTTCCTTCCCACTGTACTAGAACTTGCCTCTCTTCTGCCTTTCCAAACTGGAGAAGAGAGCATGAAGATTTGCTTTCCTAATCCCCAGTGTCACTTGCCATCCAACCAACAAAGACTAACTGAGAACCTACTATGTACCAGACTCTGGCTAGGTGATTTATACACATTTTCTCTGACTCCCACAATAAACCTACATGAGGGGTATTCTTATCGTTATTTTGGAGAGGACTTATTTTGGATATGTTGCAAAATTAGTGAGTGGCTACTAGGATCTAAACACAACACTCCCGACTGTAAACCAAATTGTTTTCCTATTAATGCCTATTGATGCCCCCTGAGGTGGAACTGGCCCTTATCCAGCACTACTCTGCCCCCACCTCCCTACTAAAGTTACACTCTTACACCAACCTCATGATGACCTTCTCATCAAATCAAATCAAATCAACTTTAGATCCTGTTCTCTCTGACCTCCAACCCACAGCTGACAGTATTGATGATCCTTATTGAAATCGCTCTTTCCATGAGCTTATTTAAGTCTGCACTACTCCAGTTCTCCATTAACCTCTCAAATTCCTCATAGTTTGACTTAGTCACTGTCTTTTCCTCATCTTCCAAACTGAGTATGGCTTCCAAGGGGCGAACTTCTCTTTCCACACAGAAAAACCATCTTCAGCGTTTCAGCTAGTTCCTCTGTGCTGAGCTGCCAAATCTCATCTCAGGTATCACTATCTCACCTAGATTCTTCATCTTCAAGATACAGAACACTGGAGCCATCTTCAACTCCTCTTTCCTTCCCCTGCATGTCCAATGGAAAACAGAGCTTCTCGCCCTCACGGAGTTGCTCAGGTGTGCTCCTTCTCCCGCCTCACTTCCAACCCACTCCAGTCAAGGTCTTCAGCACCTCAGCCTGCACTAGCAAGGGTCTGCCACTTGGGTTGAGCACTGCACCCTGTGTGTCCTCCGTTCTTCATGACATTCCTGTAGAAATCTACCACACTGATCTTCTTTAAACACTCCTTTACCCAGCACAATGGTTCTTTGTTGCTTGCTGCATCTTCCTAACTTGCTCTCTCCTAAGTTCCTAGGCTCCTGTCATCTGGCCCTACTTCTAGCAGAGTGGTTAAGAGTGTAGAATCTGGAGTCAGACTGCCTATGTTCCAATTCTGTTTAAAATGATCACTTGGTCATCAGCAAGTCAATCTCTCCATGCCTCAGTAAGTTGGGAATAACAACATTTGTGCATCCTGGATAAAGTTGCTTTAAGAAAGAGAGGACTGAGTGAGTTTAGAACAGTTTCTTTTACATGGCAGATGTTAGGTATTATCAGTCTCCAGGAAAAATCACAGGGCCAGCAAAACCTGTCCGTTCCTTCAGTTATGGATAGAATGATGCCTATCTTTTTGTTCTTTTGTCCATGTCTAAACATCCTTCAAACAATAGCTCCAGAACAAACTTCCCTGCAAAATTTACTTCTTTTTTCTTTTTTACAAATATCTCCTTTTATACAATGTGCTATTCTTGTGCTGCCCATTCTGACCCTTTATCTAAGGGGTTAATGCAAGTCTCTACTGACTGCTCCATGTGTCTGAAGAGTAGCATTACATAAAGAGTATAGACTTCGGAGTTGGCTGAGCCTGGATCAGAATCTCAATTCTAACTCTTGCAAATTGTATCATGGCATCTCTGAAGGTCTTCTGTAAAATAAGAATAGAAATCCCTAACTCTTGCATTTGTAAGAATTGATCACAATAACAGTTCCTGGTCTGTAGGACTCTCAAGAAATGCTTGTTTTAATTTTATTACTGTTGTTACTAATTTGCTCTGCACAGCAGCTAACCAATTGCTAGGTATGATATGTACATTATTGAATCACTAATAGAGAACAGTTTATGTCATTTCCAAAACAAGACCAGGACATGAAATTTGTATGTGTTTGAGTGGGGAAAGAAAAGAGAAGTAAATCTAAAGAATCTGGAAATGCTTGAGACAGAGAACTAACTGGAGGAGTGAAAATGGGTGTCCAGAAAGCCAGCGAGCCAGGCACTCTGGATTCCTAAGAAAGGACTGAAAAAAGAGGGGAGAAAAAGGTGAGCTCTGATGTCAAGCTCACCTACATCATCATTCTGTCTGGAACAGGTCCTGGCTAGTGGAATGTACTGGAGATTACATTACAGGGTTTTTTTTTTCCTTAAAAAAAGCATTACAACTTATCTGAATTCCTATGCTCCCATCATTCTCTAATAACATAGATCTGCAAGTGACTATCCCTTGGTTATTGAGCTAAATAAGACTACATTTTCAAGAGATGGCTCAATTCCCAAGAAAATAATTTAATTTGGGGGCTAGTCACTGGTGAGAAAAGTTAGGCAAAAAATTGATTAAGGAAAAAGGAGCAGTGAACAAAAGATTTCAGACACATTTTTCCAAAATTCTCTTTTACTATACAATTTTTTTAAATATCAGATTTTTATTCCTCTGTGTCTCATTCTTATTTCTCTCTAATGGAAATTTATGACTTCAGTTTTAATGAATTAACACAGTACTATACATATCAAAAAGATCTACAGATATTTTTGGCATGCTTAGGAAAGCTGTGTGTTTTTATAGCACACTCTCCTTAAACAGAACTATCTGTCATCCTTTGAAACTCTAAGACATAAAAAAGAAAAGACTCTGACTCTGTGTGTGGCCAAGCTACTTTGCTTAATGCACTGAATGCAAGGTTTTTAGAAAAAAAAATCAAGAAGTTTCTGCTTCATTGATAATCTGACAGTAACTATTTATTGAAGGTAAAATACTTGTTGTCTGCTGTCACTATTTGTTTTAATACATAATCTTGCTAACTAAATGAGCTTAAAGCAATGCAGATAAGCAATGGCATGTACAGGGTCACTTAAATGCCAATTTGACTCTTTCATAAACTTTGGAATTCTTTTCCCATGAGTCTATTCTCAGCTACTAAATTGTGAGTAATATCCATTTACAAAGTTTAGGCTGGCCATAAAAAGGTTGTCTTCCGTGTCCAGCACACCTTTCAGTGCCCTAAGCAACAACAAAAGCTAATAATTAAAGCTTCTTTAAGGCCCCATAAAGAGTTAAATGAAGGAGAATCTAGAATAAACCAACCCATAAAAACCTAGTGGTGAAATAAGGAGAAAATCAGTTTCAACAAGGTGAATGGCAAAAGATAAACCATAAATCTAAATTGCATTTACACACCATTTTTCAAAATTGTGGTTGTACCCCTGTGTAATAAGAAACCCTATTAAAAATATGGGCGGGGGATGAAACATAATACGATAGTAGAGAAAAATAAGGCCATCTAAATTACCAAATCAATTGGCCTATGGACATTTTGTGTTGAGTTGTCTTTTATTTTATTTTATCATAGCAAAATTAAGCAATATAAGAAAGAGTTAATCCAAACTAGTCATTACAATGACCAAAAATGTCAAATCTAACATGTTAACTTTTAATTTTCTTTTGTCTCACAAAGAGGTATTTTTATTCTAGGTATTGTTATATCATTAAGCTAGTACATTTCAAAGACAAGAATGGAAAGAAGTGTAGAGTATAGCATGTACATCCTACAGCACTATCTGCCACCAACTCTTCCTGTGAGATTTAACTTAGATCTCATATACAAATTTCTAAAACACTTGATTTTCCTTTAAAAATGCATTTTCAGGTATCAATGCTACTGAATAAGTTCTCTTCAGACAGTAAATTTGTAAAGTTAAGGAAGTTACTTTTGTTTAGGTAGTTTTTGATCCCTCGGGAGTTTTGAAGACTTTTTTTGTCTCTGTTGTGGAAGTCCTAATATACTTTTTCGTGTTCGCTTAACTTCTTTTCCTCTGATTTGCAACAATTCTGATGATTTCACCTTTAAAAAAATATAAAATGTGCTGTTAAGGGAAGTTGTAATAACGAGTTAGAGCTTTCTCCCATTTTTAATGGTCCGTCTTATGTTCAAACTCCTAATTTCTATATATATTTTAAAACAGAATAGAAATCCTAAAGGTGAGTTGATATTTTCCTCTAAATTCATTCCTAAACTTTTACATATACACGTTCACGGCAATAAAAATATTTGTACCATATTTACTTATAAATTTTATTTATTGCCTTAAAACTATGAAGAAGAAATATAAGATTTTGTCCTTCCATAAATCTACTCTTCTTGATTGGCATTTTTAATAGAACTTACCCTTAGTCTCTTAAAATTTGCCATGACTAGTGGTTGCAAGCACAAGCCGAAATGAGCTTTAATGCTTTATGTAAGCACCCTCAGCAACGTTCATCCGTTTGTACTTCTTACGGTTGTACTGTTTTCTATTTCTACTGCTTGGGAAAGATAATGCATTCCTGGTCTCTTAAATAATTGCCTTTCAATCATAGACTTTGGGAGTATTGTTTTCCTAGATTTCTTAGAAAATTTGCAGTATTCACGGCAATAGTTCATCCAAAGATGCTTTTCTCTGTGCATTGCTCTGCATTTTTTTGAGACTGGATTTAAGAAAGAAAGCAGAGAGGCTTTCCTTGGGGAAAGCAGAGAGATTGGTTGAATAAGTAAAAGGAGGCCAGATAAAGGGAGGTTCCTATAAATTTAGGCAGAGCGTTTGGACTAGGTGCAGTAGTAAGGAGAGGGTTACTGCGATGTCCCGGGTAAGGAAGTGACGACAAATAAGGAAAGCTCAGAGTACAGAGCATTCCATCTCAGCATCCAGTTAACGTTTGAACTTCCTCTACACTGTCTCCATCAAATTGTCATCCATCCTGACATGAACAAGACCAGGAACGGAGGACTTGGATACATCCAAAGGCAGCCACTTTCTCTTTGAAACTCTTCCAGTTGTTAGAATTTTTGTTTGTTTTTTTCTTTATTATTGAACCTAACAACTTTCATCCACTAATCTCAGTTCAAACCTCAGGATCATAAAGGCATAATATGGCTCTCTCCCATTTGACAGACAAATATTTGAATATACTTGACTCCCTTGGGCCTGCTTTTCCCCCCATATAAACATCCCCAGTCCCTTCAACTCTACCTTACATTGACACTGTTTTGAAGTACTGTGCTTTGTCACCTTGAATGCTCTCCTCCAAACAGTCTCCAATTTGTCAGTGCCTCTCCTGGGTTTGGACACCCACATCTGAACACAGCATTTGAGGTGTGATATGATCAGATCAAGCAGGAGAAAGATGATCCTCTTTTATGGTATTTGTCAGTCAACACAAACTATGATTGCACTTGTCTTCTTATTGCAAAACTAAACTGTAGCCTAAAACCCTGAAGTCTTTTTCACATTTGCTCTAAGTCATGTCATCCCCTATCTATGCACTTAGTTTGTGGACCCAAGGGCCATGCGTACATTTATCCCAATTAAGTTTCATCTGAGGTTTGACAAACCAAACCTTACTAGTCACATTTGGATGTTATCTGCAAATCTAATCAGCAAATCTTCCATATTCTCATCCAAATTATTAGGAAATCTGCCAAACTGGGCACAGTCCTATTGCAGTCCACTAGAGACTGTCATGATTAATTGTGCATCCTTTGCATAACTAATTAAAAATCCATCTAGCTCTTACCCTGACCACAGTCTTGTCTACAAAACTGTCATTGGGAGGCTTCCATAAATGGATTGCTGAAACCCAAAGGATAATAACAATACCTAAAGTTTATTGAGTTTTCTTGTATGCTGGGCTCTTCACCATGGTACTCTTGTGTTGAACTCCGTGTCTAACACTTTTCTAATGTTCAATATAGTGATTCAAAAAAAACAAACAAGGTTGGTCTTCCATGGCCTGTCCTTAGGGAACTCTGCTGGTTCCAGAAGATTTCTGCTTCCTCTTATAAAGGTTCAAACAAAATTCTTTTAACAATTCATTTAATCATTGCGGAGTTTTGTCCAAGACCAATGCATAGATTACAGAAACCATAACCCTTACCCTTAAAAGAAATAAAATTCAGATTTGCAGTTGCCTCTGGGCTTCCAGCACCGCTCCCACTGCAACAGCTCCTCAAAGCTGCTGCCGACAGGGGCACAGCCGGGCTGAAACCCATCTATCCAAGCCAATGGGATGGGGCATCTTTTACCAATCTTGGGCTTCAAGTTTCTTTTATCAATTCTTTTTTTCTTCTTTCGAAACTGAAGCTCATTCTCCTTGTCAGATTTGAGAGAAGAAAAGTATGAGTTTATCAGCTTCCTCTTCTCTTTGTCATCTTTCTATTTAAAACCTCAACATTTTTCCAAAAGTAAATTAAGGCCACTCTGTCATCTGTTGTCATCACACTCTTCATCCATAAAGACAGGGTTATCCTTTCTTTTTTCTCTCTTTGCTCCAAAACTAACATGAAAAAAATACTTTTTTATTCTTAGCATTATTCACAGACCTCAACCCATTCTGGATGTTAACCTTCTTGGTATAATTTTTATAGCCACATGCAACTTTTATATTTACCTATGGATATGTATTTCTTCTTTCATCTTTTGTATATTTTTAAAACTCTGAATGCAATAGATCACTCATAATTGTTTTGTGAAAATTTGAGGGAATTTAGGGCACCCCACATTTCTTAAACTTCTTTCCATTTAGAATCTCAGGACACATGATATCTATATTTTTTACACACTTTTGAGCGTTAGCTCAACAATCTGCTCATGGGCTCTTGTGTCAGTCATTTCTTCATAGAGTCACCATTATCTAATTTCTCTTCTTTTTGGTCATGACTTAGACTAAAGTCCTAATAACATTTATTATACTAATGGGCTTCTAAGAGTAGAAATGGTCAGTAAAGTAAGGATTGATCAAATTCTCTACTTTTTTGCTGAATGAGACTTTCTGGCACATATCTGAGCAGTGGAAGTCCCGCATTGCTCCTTTATCACACCTCTGTGCTAGCCCTATTAGCTATGTCAAAAGCGGTCTTCTTGTCCCCCTAGTCTGGCCTGGCTTGCTGGAGTATATTGATCCTCATTCCTGTGCCAGAGATGCTAGAGACTAACTTTATAGCCTCAAATATCCAAACATGGTAAAGTTCATGGATAATAACTGATCTTAAGATGTTAACACAATAAGTAAATACAAAATACTTGGTGAAGACTTGGTGGGATGAGTCACAGGGACACTTCCAGTGCTGTTTTCTACGGCATTTCTGATGTGTTCCACAGCATCCCACAACAATAAACCATAAAGTCTTATTAGGTATTCTCTTCTCCACCACTAGAAACACTCTGGTTTCAGTTTAGAATTTAGAACCCTCTTAACCCATTCTCCAAGTCTCTCTCATCAAACCATCCCTCCTAGTTTTGTGAGGGACACTCCCTCCCTAGGCATTTTTTCAGCCTATCTTTGCATATCTTCTCTATGACTCAGTTTTTTCAACTATAAAATGAGGGTGATAATAGGGTTGTTATTAGGAAAAAATAAGATTACATGCAAAACACTTAGCAAAGTGGCTGGTACATGGTAAACACTCAATATATTCTAGCTACCTTAGGAAAGGACTGCCTCTTTTTACCAAAAATAAATAATTTTGCATAACTTCTTAGTAATATTTAATAGCTGCCATACAAACCAAAAGAATTAACATTATGGGACTTTTCTAATGTGGGATTTAAGTTTCTGACAGGCCGTGGTGGTTAAACCCCTGTCCAGAAAGTCCGTTTCATTCGTTGACACATTTAGTACCCAACCATTTGTCTCTCATGCACACATTTTATTTCCATAATTCCAACGTTTATGTAGAAGAATAGATTAAAACCCTACCTGTGCCCACTAGCCTAGCAATTTCTCATCAAGATGCCATCGTCTTTAAAGATGCTTTCTAAGGTGTCTACATCCATAAGGTGTCGGCTTAACACACAGTATTCACCTAGAGTAGTTAGCAATGAGAGGATTCACTTAGCCTTGACGTACTTCACTTCCCCAAGTTCATGCCTTAGAAAGACAATGTGAGTTCTGAAAAGCTGATCACCAATCATGGCATAAGTCCCTTCTCCCTGATGGCAGTGGTGGATTTCCTCTGAACAGCTATGACTTGCAGAACTTCCTTTTTACCTATATCTTCAGAAGATCAATATGCTAGTGCCATGCAAGATGAGCCTAAGAAAGCAGGGCTTGAGAAATGAAGAAAAACCAGGAGCCAACTCACTAATACAGACATAATGTCACCAGGACCCAGACTATGATGGGGACAACTGGAAAAGAGAAGAGAAAAATTACAAGCAATAATGTTTAGGAGGAATCTAGGCCTTGGAGACTGATTATATGTAGAAGGCAAGGGAAGGGGAAGGCCACAGATAAACGCAAGCTTTCAGATTAGAGAGTTTGGGGCAAAAGTTGAAGAACTGGTAATGGCCAGTTGACTTGGGTGAAGCACAGTAGGAATCTGGTCACTGGTGGGGAGAGGGGGACCCAAAAGGAGAGGGACCGACCAGGAAGGTTGTCTAGGCAAGAAGTGGTATCCATGTGAATCAGTCAGAGGCAAAGATCCCTGGTGATAATCAGGATAATATGTTGTATTTCAGGGGAAAATGGCTTTTTTAAAATCCTAATAATAATGTGCCTATTTTTAAATAAACTCATTTAAATCAAAAGGTGACTCAAATTAAAGAAAAGTACTAGGCAAATAGTAATCAGGTGATACGCAAATATGGTAAAAATTATTTAAATGATACATAAGTAAAATGAACCTGGGAAACATTCTCAGCATAGGAAAAGACCCAGGGGTTAGGATAAACCCAAATCGGGCCGAGTTCTAAAAACTACAAGGTTCACTGCGTCCTGGTCCCTGGACTGCAGTTCCCGATTCCCTCAACGCTAACGGGAAAACTCTTGGGTCAATTTCTGAAAGCACTGAGGTTCCATCCCTCTTCAAGAAGCTGTCTTCTCACCTCAGAGTTGCGAATAGGTTTGCGACTAAAAGCCCTCACAAAAAAAAAAGGATGTCCCCTTTTGCCAAATAAGCAATTGGCATATTTAAGGTCCTTTCCAGGGTGAACTCCCACCCCCACCCCCTGCATCGGCCCTTGCCTGACCCACTTCTTCACACCTGCGCATCCTCAACTCTCATAACTCCGTTTCCAACATAAATAGTGTTTTACCTTTAAAGATACCCGTTTGGCTGCTTTTGAGTCACCTGCAGGTGCCTCATCTTCCAAAGGTTTACTTGATTCATCTGCTGGCTGGACTTCCAAAGTTTCCTGAGGTTTAAATAGCAGGCTTTCTGCTTCTGAGACTCCCCATTCAAATATATCCTCTTGTTCAATCTGCAAAACACTTGGTACACCCTCAGGAAGTTCCTCAAGCACCTTCTGCTGGAAAACGTAAAGGTACAAGAATGCTCTTTTTATTGGTCCTTCCAAAGTTTTTAAGACATACAGCATTTTCTGACAACAAAATGATTCCCAAAATGCATGACTGAAATTAAGCAGAGGTAGGAAGTTTCCTCAGAAGATTGAGAAAAAGTAACTCAAACTGACTTAAGAAAAATGCAACACTGGCAAATTATCTTCCTCAGCCCTTGTCTTGGAAAATATAGCTACCCCACAGTTATCATGCACCAACTCTGAAGAAATAACAAAACTCCAGTCTGACCCTGACTCCATCCCACATTCACAGAGCCAAGGCCGACGGAAACAGCTGACCCCTGCCCCACCTGAGGTTCTTCGGTCCTGAGAAACAGACTCCTGCTGGCCAGATTCTCTTCCAGGAGCCTGCCTTCAGGTCCTCAGAGAAGAGCTGACCCAGAAGCCTCAAGAAGACCTCCCAGACAACCCCAGCTCCATCCCAAACCCAAATGAAAAATTCTCACAAAATATCACTCTTAGACCTGTTTCGTGTTCCTTAAAAATGTCTCACTGATTTAATCTGTATCTCACCAAGTCTTAAAGAAAGTATGTTTACAGCCATATTTGGATATTATTCATTTTTAAACCAAGATTATTTGGGATTATGGAGCATAGCAGGGAAAACTTCACTGCCTCAAATTAGTGGGTGATAAAACCAGTCTGACTAATAAAACCAGCTTGACTTCCGTAAAAGTCTGAATTCTAGAAAACGACTTGAAAATGCAGTTGTATCACTTTGTTCTTGGATACACTTACTTGCTAATAAGTAAAATAAAGGGTAAAGATGGCACACAGTACCAAATACTATGTTTCTTTGTTCACAACAGAGAAGGGATGGCCAAACCAAGAAATTTAAGTTTGTAAAACAAAACTTTAATCTGGAGCTGACGCTTTTATAAAGCTACTGGATGGTGCTGGGGAAAGAGTAAGAGCTTTGTAATCAAATAGGACTTAATTCAAATCCTGGATCTCTCAATTAATAGACATCTGATCTTGGTCAATGTACTTAGCCCTTTTTAGCCTTATTTTCCTCATTGGTTAAAAGGGGTTAATGAAATCCTTTTCATAAAATGGCAGAATAGATCCACTGGGGTAATGTGTGTTATGAGCCCTATACTGTCCACCTATGACAAACTCATTCATTTTACATTCCATAGCTTTGGGCACTGTTAGTCACTCTCTTTCTTCTGAATTTCTCTGCTCCCGGCTTCCTCAACACACTCTCCCAGGGTTCTGGTTTGGGAGATTCAATAGATGAAGGTACCACCCTCCAAAATAGAAAATGGAGGAAGAAAAGCTTAAGGATAGGGAAATGTAGTCCTCCAGCTGCAAATGATCCTCTTCAGGACTCTGCCCAGCCTCACCTCCTCCACAAAGCCTTCTCTGATCCTGTCACTATTCTGTGCCTGCCTCTATTTTAGCATAGATCACACTATGTTACAATCGTCTAAGTAATCATTATCATAATCATAATCATTAACATATATGAGCATTATCTCCTCTAATTTTAATCCTCATCACAACTCCATGAAGTAGGAACTGTTTGTAGCCCCATATTATGAATGAAGAAGCTGAAGCTTGGAGATATTAAGCAACCCGTGCGAGGTCACACTGAAAGTAGCAGAGCTGTGTTTGAACCTGCTGCCCTCCTCCTCCTCCATTCAATAGCCTAGTGGTCCTCAAAGTGTAGTCCGCGAACTCTGACAGTCTTCAAGAACTTCTCAGGGGATCTGCAACAGCAAAACTATTTTCCTAATAGTACTAAGGCTTATTTGCCCTTTTCACTGTGTTGACATTTGCACTGATGATGGAAAAGTAGTGCCGGGTAAAACAGTGAACTAATACTTTTCAAACGATTAATGCATGAGATTACAAAATCATGCAGGAGTAAAAGATCCATTCAAAGAACAAGGCAGATGAATGAATTTTAATGTAATAATATACAATAAATTTATTTATCTGGTTTTAGATTCCCCATCACCACCAATCTTTAAGAAACTACCAGTTGTGGACTTTTGCTGTATTAACAAAGAAGAGTATCCCTAACTATGTAAAAAGCCTACTAAAATATGAGTCTTTCTCTAATCTGTATGAGACAAGACTTCAATCAAAAGAGCACATACAATAGATTGGATGCAGAGCAGATATGAGAATCTAGCTCTCTATTAAACCAGATATTAAAGAGATTTGCAAAAAATGTGAGATAATCCTACCCTTCTCACTAAATTCTTTTGTTGTGGATACTATTTTTTCCTTAAAAAAAAGTTTTATGTTAATATGTATTGGCTTATTATTATTTTAAATGGATGAATATTATATTTTTATATATTTTATATTTTTCTCAGTTTTAATTTTTAGTATGCTAAACATTGGTTGATATAATCCACACAAACAGAAGCTCCTTTGGGTCCTTAAAATATTCTTTAAGAGTTTAAAGGCATTCTGAGACCAAAAAGTTTGAGTACCTTAAAGCTTTAAAGCGAAAAAACAAATTGTGCCCCACCTATCTTGTATATCTCAAGCACTTAGTGCATTGTAGGTGCTCTGCAATTCTTGGTGAATGAATAGATAAATGAAAAGAAATCATATCAATGCTTTCTCTACTATGTAATTAGTCTCCATTAGAATATTTATTAAACAGTATTGTACTTTGTCTCTTTATATAGTGGCCTGTTCCATACAATAAGCTCCTCAAGGGCAAGCACTGCCTTTTCTGTCTGTGCCAACCACGTCTAAAACAATGCCTGCCACATAATAGGAAAAACAATGAATGAATTCCTTGATTTTTTTGATAAGTATGTGAGGAAATAATCCTCTGTGATATTCAAAAACTATTACATTTAAAATGGTGGGTATCCAAGAAGAAAAGTCATTCCACTAAGAATGCTCTTTTTAAAAAAGAAAGTAAATTGCATCAAAGAACTAAGAGACCTCTGGCATGTGGCATTGAGATGTTCACAACTGAAGCCCCCACCATCTGTGGGTAGGGTGCCGGTGCCGCTTAGAAAGAGCAGGCCCTCTTGGAATGGGAGCATGCTGGCCAGTACCACCCAGATAAATCTCAGCCCAGGAAGCTTCTAGAAGTCTAAGGAATGGGTAGGATGGAAAGATAGAGTTCTAATCTCTGGCACAGAGTAGGCACCCAAAAACGTGTCTGGAATGAAAGATACCACGGAGGAGCCTTTCTACCACCACCACACATCAAGTTAACAGGTGCTTCACCTCTAAAAGAGCTGTAAGCTTCTCATCAAAAGCCAGTGGCCAGAAGAGGTCCAGTGATTGCTCGTAAATGTCAAAGCTGAGGCTGTGCTTCCCACAGAATGTCAAAGAAATCAATATTTTTGTTTAAATTTTTATTTTAAATAATTACGATGATATCTAAGCTAGGTACCTGATAATTGGCATTTTTCATAGTTTCCTTCAACATGGTATTTTTTCTTATACTTTACATGAATATGTAGTGAATGGTATTAAGTCAAATTTATTCTATTAATGAAAATTTTTATTTATCTAAAACTAACTGATCTTGTATTTGTTTACTATACCTCTCAGAAGCTTAGAGGCCAGAGGTTTTGATATCTATCTGTAAATGGTGTCAACCAGACACAGCTACCCTAGATGTCAGCTTTAAGCCCATAGGATATGTGGTAAGGCTTCAAAATTGATTTATCCACTACCTTTACCGAATGGCTATTAGTGCCATGCCTGCTGGGTCCTGAAGTGGGTGATAAGAATACAAAGGGGAAAAAGACATGGCCTCAACCCAGAAGCATCCAAAACTCTGGTAGTTCAAATGTTTGTAGTAACTCTAAAGGATCTGTGGCTTTTGTGAAAAGAAAAGATTCTGTATGTTTTCTAACCATAATATGTTATCCTTAAAATGAAGTATGATCTGAATTTTTACGTATGTGGCATCATATTTTCAGGAACTAAAGAAGCTTGCTATTTAATGATATCATTTTACAAATTCTTAGTAAAGGAATTGATCATCGTGCCATCATTTGTTTTACATAAACGTAGATTTATATACAGGCAGACACGTCCCATCCCCAGGGACAATGTTCCAGATTGCTTTGAATCCCACAAGAATTTTGCCAATGATGGATGAAAAGGAAGCTTTCTTTCTGAAACAAACTTCTGTCACCCATTGTCCATGTTTCTCTACAAAATTCTCCCCTTGTCAATGCTTTTCACAATTCTTCTAGCTAAATAAAGAATAAGGTGATGCTTTCTTATAAACTCATAACTATTAATAATTCTCCAACTACCTTCTAGATCTGAATGTCTCTGGACCAGAAGAATTGTTAAAATCTTTCCCTTCTGAAAAGAGTTTCAGACCTTAGCTCAGAAAGTCTATGATAGGCAGCAACGGTGAGCCAAAATAGCCAAGACTACCAATGTGGTAGTCAATTAGATGTGCTTACAGCCAAACACATCTCTAGAATAAATCAGAGGAGATTTTTTTGACTCCCCAGATAAAGATTCAAGCAACAGGAGGCAGACTATTACTTCAATATAAGCAAGGAGGATTTCTGTTAAAGATTATCATTTGAGGTTCCTGAATACTTATCTGTAATCCTTGATCTGCTTGCGCTTGAGATGCTTTATGCCAGTGCATTTTTCCCATTGAAGAAATTTCCTTGAAAGAGGAAAAGAAAAAATTAGAACCATTTTTTAGACAATTTAAAAAATCATTGAGGCATATTATTCAATGCAGTAAAATGTGAGTCAATATAAGGCAGTAAATGAGGAATATATGAATGGGAAAAATAAGCTTTTCAATATTGTGCAGTAAATAAGAAATACAGACAAAATATACAATAAAAATATTTCATCTATTATTCCAATTTCATGGTTTTTTAAATTATCAATCTCTATAGATATATCATCAGATTTAATAGGACAATTAGGTAAAATTAAATCAGATGTAAAACACTGCTATTCATGATGCACAAGAAAGATAAAATCAAAACTAAAATTTAGTTTAAGAGCAAGAAATATGAATATACTTAAATTTTTAATGGGTGTAACTGTTGGTGTCATTTTTATCATTGCTAATGCTAACTGCTATGATACACTCTCTACTCAGTTGAAGTGGCAAGAAGATAGCACAATGCAATGTCTAACAACGGATAGGAATAAAGAGACTCAGGTTCTGCCCAAGCTGTAAAGTCACAGACCAGGCTTCAACAGGCAAGTTATTCTGCTTCCCTTCACCTCAGTTTTATCATCCTTGAAACAGGCATTCAGCTACATGACTCTTTGGGGCTCTTTCTCCTCTAGCCTGTAAGTAATGTCTGCAGCAAGATATGAACATTCATTGTGCTTTCAAACTCTGCTTTTCTACCTTTTCTTTGCTTCATTAAAAAGATCCAACTGAGGCCACTGACTTCTACATTTGTCCTCTTGTCATAAATAATGAGAAAACTGAACAAAATATAAGAACAACTCTTTTAGGATTGGATAACAGGTAGTGCAAGGATATAATGACTAAGAGAATGGGGAAAAGAAAGGTTAAGAGCTAAATCTCCCCAGATTTCTGCCTCACAGAATTTCCAGACCACAACACAAAGAGGGGGAAACCACACAGAGCCCGGGAATCTCACTAGTTGAAGAGAGAGAAATCAGAGCGAGGAGAAACCAAAGATTTTGTAAGGCACACTATGGAGAAGAGAGAGCCGATTAGAGAAAGCTCCAGAAATCTGCATTGGGTTCTTGAGTCTTTGGCTGAATACCGATCGGCTCCAGCAATGATGAAACCCATGAGGCCAGACAAACAAAAACTGCCAGAGAAAAAAATTACCAAATTGTGGTAAGCCACAATTCCCAGAGCTCAGACATACTGGGAGTCATTAGATCTCCCACCAGACATGCTGAATGCATTCATTATAAACCTCAAAAAGATCACACATTAGTAGTAGTGCTAAACCAGCCTTGGAGTAGAGGCTTCTCTGAACTTTAACACCACTTTAAAACAATACTTGAAAAGATCAAGCTGATCTATTAGGAAAAACTCCAACACTTTTTAAAGAAAGACAACAAAATCAAGTACTCTACAATGTAAAATCCACATTGCTCAGCACCCAGTCAAAAGTTACTAGTCATATGAAGAAGCACGAATATGTGACACGTAACCAGGAGAAAAATCAATAGAAAAAGACCCAGAAATGACAGAGATGCTGGAATCAGCAGATAAAGATCTTGAAACTTCTAATAGAAGTATTATAAATGTTCAAAGATGTAAACATAATCAGGAGCAAATGTAAAATATAAAAACAGAATCAAATGGGACATCTAGATAGGATATACATTATGGAGCTCCATTCATGATGGCGAGGTAGGAACATCCTGAACTCACCTCCACCCTTGGATAAACCAAGTCTACAGCTATGTACCAAACAATTTCCTCTGAAACAAACCTAAACAGTGGCAGAGTGACCCCTTGGCGCTGTGAGAAACCACACTGGACTAAGAAGGAAAGGCTGAGACACAATCTCACCACAAACCCTACCCCGTGCTCAGAGGCCCAGCACTGCGAGGGCACTCAAAACCTAGGGCTTCCCCCAGAGGAGGGAAGAAGGGTTTATACTCCACATTGGGCACCCCGACTTTTAAGACCAGCACCTAAGAGACAAGCCCCCCAAACATCTGACTTTGAGGACCAATGCAGCTCATGCCCACAAGACCGCTGGGGGCTGTTGGGCTCTTAAAGGGCTGGCACTCAGACTCACCTGCCCTTGGGCCCAGCACAGAGGCAGCCCTTTGAAAAGCGCCCGGACTTTAAGTGAAAGAAACTCATTACCTAATTTGGTCCGAGGGCAGCTGCCTGCCGGGATACTCTCTAAGGATGCAGGTGGTGGGCACCATCTTTTTTGTTTTTTAATTTCTTTTCTTTTTCTTCTTTTTATTTTTTCAGCCAGAGCCATCTGTGCACTCCCCCTCTGCCTCAAGCCAGCCAGTGGGTGCCATCTTCGTGCTCTCCCTCAGCCATTCTCCAGAGTGGCAGTATCTCCCAGAGCGGAGCTTCTACATGCATCTGGTGCTCTGGTTTTTCTATCTGGTGACCCAGTTTTTGCAGCTGCCACCCAGGGGATGCCCCTAGATTGCCTGGCACTGGAGGCCAGAGGGCTCACGTTCCTGGGTCCTGTGGGACTGTCACAACCAGAGAGACAGTTCTTGGCAGACTGCCACCCCCAGGGCACTGCACAGACAGCAGACTGAAGCACACCCCAGTCTTCCTAGGAAACAGGCCTACTTGCTAGTCCAGGAGCTTCGGCCTGAGGGGCAGGCTTCTGGTTTGGCACACTTATAGAGGTCTATGGACAGAGGCGCTCTCAGGGAGCAGAGACTTGTCGACACAGTTTTTGCTCTCTCTCTCTGCCTCACTCCAGCTGGCTGGTATTTTCCAGAAATGAACTCATACCTTTGTCTGGTGCCCAGATACCTCTACACTGCCTGGCTCTTGTGGCCAGTGGGGCTTATGCTTGTGGTCCCACAGGACTGTGTACATTTGCATTATTTAAAAGCTACTGCCTGAGGGTCTGTCTTCCAATCAGCCTGAATCTAGGTGCTGCCTGAGATCCTCTCCTTTGGACAATGACTGGTCTTGGCCCACCCCCAAATACCGGGAGCTATTAAAAATAAAACAGGCTGCTTGGACAGTCACAAAAGCATGAGAGGCAACCAAGAGCTGGAGGAGGGTGGAACAACAAGGTTCATCTCCTACATGAGGCCATTCCCTCAAGTTTGGGAGAGGCGGCTCTTTTCCCTAATGCATAGAAACCAACAGAGAGAGTCAAGCAAAATGAAGAAACAGGGGAACATGTTCCAAACAAAAGAACAAGGTAAAACCTCAGATAAAACATACATTATCTGAGGGGCTGGCCCCGTGGCCGAGTGGTTAAGTTCACACGCTCCGCTGCAGGCGGCCCAGTGTTTTGTTGGTTCGAATCCTGGGTGCGGACATGGCACTGCTCATCAAGCCACGCTGAGGCAGTGTCCCACATACCACAACTAGAAGGACCCACAATGAAGAATATACAACTATGTACTGGGGGGTTTTGGGGAGAAAAAAGGAAAAGAATAAAATCTTTAAAACATCCTTTAAAAAAAAAAATACATTATCTGAAATAAAAATTTCACTGAGTGGGATTAATAGTAGAGAAGACACTGCAGAAGAAAATACCAGTTAACTTGAAGACATAGCAGTAGAAACCATACAAAATAAATCACAGAGAGAAATAAAAACTGAAACAAAATGAACAAATACTCAATCTATTTTTTTTTAATTTCTTTTTTTTTTTGAGGAAGATTAGCCCTGAGCTAACTACTGACAATCCTCCTCTTTTTGCTGAGGAAGACTGACCATGAGCTAACATCCATGCCCTTCTTCCTCTATTTTAAGCATGGGACCACAGCATGGCTTTTGCCAAGTGGTGCCATGTCCGCACCCAGGATCTGAACCAGCGAACCCCGGGCCTCAGAGAAGCGAAACATGCGAACTTAACTGCTGCACCACCAAGCCGGCCCTAATATATATTTAATTAGAGTCCCAGAAAGCGGGGTGTGGAGGAAGCAGAAAATATCTGTACAAAAAAATGGTCAAAAATGTTCCAAATTTCATGACAACTATAAGAACCCTGATGCAAGAAGCTCCATGAACTACAAGCAACAAAGGACAGTGTGCCAAGTACATTATAACTGAAATAATAAAAACCAGTAACAAAGGAAAAATCTTATAAGCATTCAGAGAAACATCAAGCACAAAGAAACAAAGAACTACTGGTGACTAATTACCACAAACTAATACTGCAGGCTTCTTGCCAGAACTAAGCAAGCGAGAAGACAATGAAGCAACATATTTAGTGTATTTGTGCTGAAAGAAAACAACTGTCCACAGAGAATTCTATATCCAGCAAAAATATCTTTCAAAATCAAAGGTGAAATACTGTTTCAGCAAACAAAAGGTGAAAAAAATTCATTGCTATCAAACCTGCATCACAAGAAATGTTAAAGGAAATTCTTCAAGAAGAAGGAAATGATATAAAAACACGATAATAATGAACACCAAATTCAAGATATTGTTCACATTGGAGGAGGGAGGGAATTATTGGAAAGAGGTACTAAGGAGGCCTCTACTTTAATTGTAACTTTTCATTTATTTAAACAGTCTTAAGTGAATATGACAAAATATTAAATTTTGAAAAATCTGAGTGGTGAGTACTTGTTCTATAATTGAAATATTTCATAATAAAAATACCTTAAAGAAATTTTTCAATACACTTTATGTGGGTAACAAAACAATGTCAAGGGTGAATAAAAATATCTCAGTAAAGAAACCTATAGTTTACCTCTCTTGAACATAAATGCAAGAATCCCAATTAAAATATTTGCAAATGAAATTACTCAGACTATTTAGAAACAATACATCTTGACCACAGAAATTTTTCCCAAAACTGCATGGATAATTCATTGCTAGTTTATGAGATTAACAGATTAAAATGGAGATTCATATGATCATGTAAATAACTGCTGAGGAAAATCATCAATAAAATTCAACACTTAGGGGGCCAGCCCCATGGCTGATCAGTTAAGTTCATACATTCCGCTTCGGAGGCCCAGGGTTTCGCTGGTTTGGAT